TCTCGTTGACCTGTTCTGAAACAACTTTCGAATCGGTCCAACATAACAATTTCCGAACACCCACCTCCCGAGCCAGTCTCAATCCAGCTAGTAACGCTTCGTACTCGGCTTGATTATTCGAAGCTTTGAAAGCGAAACGAAGAGATTGTTCAAGTGTCAAGCCTGTTGGTCCTTCAAGGATTATTCCGACCCCACTGCCTTGGCTATTAGACGACCCGTCAACACGAATTATCCACTGATCACTTTCAAAATTTCCAACTGGTTGTAACTCATTAACGAAGTCATCCAAGCACTGTGATTTGATCGGCCCTCTTGGTTCGAACGATATGTCGAATTCGGATAATTCTACGGACCAATTAGTCCGAACGACGATTTTATGGCTGTGGAAGTACTGTCGAAGACGTCGTGCCGTGTGGACCACCCCAAGTGCCATCTTCTCGAGAAGTTGGTATCTTCTTTCGGCATCTTGTAGCATCCGACTCACAAAATAGATTGGTTTTTGGGATTCTCTTTTTGTACTAGGACGGCGCTGATTGCCTCGTTGGAAACACACAAATACACTATCATGTTGAGGCTTGGATCGGGTTTTGAAAGTATCGGGGGTGTGCCAAGCCGATGCTTGAGGATCTTGAACGATTCTTCACATTCTGCTATCCAAGTGAACTTACTGGCCTTTTTTAACAACCCGATGATGGGTTTGGTTGTTTCGGCTAGGCAGGGAAGGAACTGAGAAAGAGAAGTGAGTCGTCCGAATAACACCTTAACTTCTTTAATATTATGCGGGCTACGCATGCCGATAACCGATTGGCATTTATCCGGGTTAGCCTCGATCCATCTGGCGGATAGCATAAATCCAAGAAACTTACCCCCAGCTATACCGAAGACACATTTTTCAGGGTTCAGCCTCATGTTGTGCTTTCGAAGCTGCCTGAAAACTTCTATAAGATCACTTTGGTGGGTGCGGAGGTCACCCGACTTGACAACCATATCGACAACATAAACTTCCAAGTTTCGGCCGATCTGATGTTTGAAAATTTTATCCATAAGCCGTTGGTACGTTGCCCCTGCATTCTTTAGGCCGAACGACATTACTCGGTAGTAGTAGTTGGCCGAGTCCGTGATGAAAGCCGTTTTCTCTTCATCCTGTGGGTGCATGCGTATTTGATTGTAGCCCGAATAAGCATCTAAGAAGGTTAATAAACGATGTCCAGCCGCCTCATCAACCAATCAGTCAATGTTAGGTAGTGGATAGGCATCTTTCGGGCATGCCTTATTGAGATTGGTATAATCTGTGCACATTCGCCATTTGCCGTTTAGCTTTTTAACCATGACCACATTTGCCAACCATGTAGTGTACTGAACTTCCCTAATAAAGCAGGCTTGCAAAAGCTTAGCTACTTCTAATTCAACGACAGCTTTTCTTTCCATTCCCATTTTCCTTTTTCGTTGTGCCACTGGTTTAGCGGCCAAAAAGATCGACAGTCTGTGACACATAAAGCTTGGATCTATTCCCGGCATGTCGGACGGAGTCCAAGCGAACAAGTCTTTGTTCGAGGCAATTACTTTACTCAACTTAAGTCTTTCGGTGTCTGACAAACCACTGTCGATGTAGGTGACTTGAGATGCTTGTTTTCTGATTTGTATTGGGATCTTTTCTTCCACTGGTTCTTCCCTTTCATCATTCATTCGTGGATCGAGATCACACATTGAAGCCGATTCTGAAGAAGGATTGATCACATGAACCCTCCTTGATTTTGCTGGTTTCTCTTGAGCAGGTGGTACGCGCAACCTTGCAAAGTAACACTCCCGAGCTGCCTTTTGATCAGCGTGTATGGTGAGAATGTTTCCTTTGGCCGATGGGAACTTCATAGCCAAATGCGGGGTTGACACAATTGCCCCCAAGGCATTCAATGATGGCCGACCTAGTAGTATGTTATAAGATCTGTTGGCCTGGACAACGATATATTTCACCTGGATATCTCGGCGCTCCCTTTCGTCGAAGCAAAACCGAGTGGAGAGTTTAATGAATCCCTTGGTGTTAACCCTTTCCCCTGCAAAATCGGCCAGTGGCTCATTGTAGGGGGTTAGTTCCTCTTTCGGGATACCAAGCTGCACGAAAGTGTTCCAATATAGAATATCAGCTGAACTGCCTTGATCAATTAGAGTCTTTTTCACAATACAATTGTGTATTTCTACGCTGATGACCATAGGATCATCTTGAACTAGATCAATGCCCTGAAAATCCTCGTCAGTGAATGTGATGGCAGGCAATTACCGAGTCACCCGTTCTTCAAGAGCATTCACGGATCGGACAACTCGCAAATGTTGTTTTTGAGCCGATGACGTCGACCCGCCTCTAGCGAAACCTCCAGCAATCGTGTTGATTACCCGCCGATGCGTTGTATGAGGATCTTCCTTCCGATCCCTTGATCGGCTGCGCTCGCGGCGATGCCTATCTGAACGGTCAGACCTGTCTTGCTGCCGAGGATGGTATGTGGACTGATGTCGAGACGAGTTTGGCCGATCCACGAAATTTCTGAGTTGCCCTTGTTTAATCAAATCCTCAATTTTATCTTTCAACGCTGCGCACTCTTCGGTAGAATGTACGCGATTGCGGTGATACCTGCAAGATTTGTTGACATCGGTGCGAGGCGGGGTTGAGGCTCTTTTTGGGACTGCTAACACTTCTGATGCTAGGGCTTGTTCAAGCACAGCGGCTCGGCCTACATTAAGTGGAGTATAATGGGAGTATTTTGGACCTCGCGCAGGTCGGTCACGCAAGGCTAACTCTTTGCGTTGTCCCTTGTATGGCTGTTCTGGTTGCTTCTCAGGTTTTCCCCCTTGTTCGGCTCGAGCCTGATTGCGGTATTCTGCCAATTCTTCCATCTGCATGTATTTATCGGCCCGCCTTCGTAGGTCATTCATGTATGAAGGAGGTTTCTTGCAGATGCTATTAACAAATGGTCCAGGTTTCAAAGCTGTTGTGAGATGGTGGAGCGCTACAGCCGGATTAAGGTCTCGGATCTCCAAGGTTGCCTTGTTGAACCGATCCATGAAAGTCCGAAGCGACTCCTTCTTGTCTTGCCGAAGGCTAACCAGCGACAAGGACGTCAAGCTGTGAGGGCGACTCGTAGCGAACTGAATAGTAAACTGGGACGATAGAGTGTTGAACGAGTCGATGGAATTAGGAGGGAGCCGAGTGAACCAGCTCAGGGCCCTGCCTTTGAGAGATGTTGGAAAAATCCGACACAACGCGGCATCATCTATGGTGCTCAAAGTTACCTGCGTCAGAAAAACATCCAAATGTTCGTCAGGATCTGTTGTGCCATCATATTTGTCAATAGGCAAAGATTTCCAATTGTCCAATAGTGGGAGTTGCATAATAGAGGGGGTGAAAGGACTTCGGTGCGATCTAATAGTTGCTGCATCTGTAGGATGACCGACTGTGGGTAGGGCTGAAGGGAACTTCTCAGGTGCTGCTGCCAAGGCATGGGGAACCGAGGTGTGTATCGCTTGGGACTGATAAGACCCTTGGGTTTGCGTGTTTGCAGCTTGAGAGGGTTTCCACGACATATTATCCTTTTTTAAGGCCTCATTTTCGGCTCTCAAGGCTGAAAGTTCCCTTGCATCTTTTTCTCGTTGCTGTTTCATGGCCTCCATTTCCTGTTTCATCAACCGAACGGCTTCAGAAAGATTCGTTTCGTCAACAACTTCAACATGCTCGTCCTCTTCTGGTTGGTGGTCCTGTGTGTTTGTTCTTCTAGTTATCGCCATGACTTAATTCAGTTAATCTTCCAACTATCTTCGTTCGGCCCCACGGTGGGCGCCATATGTACCTGTCTGATGGGCACACTAAGTCTTCTAGTAGTCTGAGGGCCGAACGAGTACTCCGATCGAATATTCCGGCGGAGGGGTTGGTACCTGCAAAAGGCACTCGAACGCTTAAGTCAGGACAAGCACGAATATCTAGGGTAATTAATGAACAGTGACGTTACCTTTTGACCTGAGCTATTTATACTGACATTTATGAACCTTGGACCCCATGGGCCCTGCAACATATTTACTGTATTAGGTAATACACCTTAATCGACTAATTAACCCCTAATCTTTGACTAAGAGTACCAAGTGATGATAAGCCTATCCTGGTGGCCGATTGACGTTCGGCTTCCTGGTTCTGCCATTCGGCCACCGATAGGGTGGTGGCCGAACCCCCCTACCTGTACATAAAAATAAAAAAAAGCAGTCATTCACGTTAATTAAGAAAAATTGTTAATACCATTTAATTTTTTTAATCACATCTAAAAAAATAACTTATTTTTCTAAACTATTCTGCTTTGAAACTTCAAAATTTAAAATGTGAATTATGTGTCTCATTCAATTTTACAAAATTAATTTATAAAATAATGAATGTTCTCTACTTATATATTTTTTAATTGTATTATCTCTATTTGATGTAAGAATTAAGTTTTTTCTAATACACTATTTCACGTCTAGTAATATTAGATTAAATGTGTATCTTAATGATAAGTAATCCTTTTAGAATAGATCTAGATATTTATCACAATATTTTGGAATGTGAATTATGGGATTAACTCAATCTTACAAAATCAATTTATAAAGTAAGAGTTACTCTTCATTTATATATTATTTAATTATCTTATCTTTAATTGATGTAAAATTTGAGTTTTTTTAATATAAAAAATAAAAAGAGAGATTAGAAATACAATTCCAATTAAATGAAACACTATTTTGGGAATAACCACATTAAATTAAGTGAGAATAGTTGAGATTTCTTTATATATGAGACTAACAAATATGAAATTTTTGTTGCTTATATTAAAAATGGAGGGAGTAATAATATTTACATTTCATACCAAAAAAAAGAAAAAAGTAAAGGGAACTAAAGAAATAATTTTGGCTTGTGATTGTCTCCTAAATAAAAAAATGGAAATTAAGAGTATTTAGAAAAAAAAAAAAAAAAAACAGCATTTAATGTCGGAGTCTTGTAAAAAGAACAGGGAAACTTCTCAACATACATGCACATATACGCCCAAGGAATCTAATATTATGATTCCCTTTTTAATGACAAAATAGGTCAATTTTTTTATCAAGAAAAAAGTAATGCCCGAAATCTCTAAACTAATCAATTGGCTATGGTTATATTGGAAAGAGTAATATACAAGTAGCTACAATGAATCCAAAACCTGAAGGCCCCGGTAGCAGTTTTGGGTTCTAGAAATTCTCGTGATTTATCTACCAAAGTTTTCAAGATGGTATGGCCGAAATAACATTATATCTTGATCTCCTTCATCCTTTGGCACACCTGCAATGCAAGACACGTGTAGCATGGGAATGCACAGAAGTAATGCAATTCATCTACACAAGTTTGAAGTGGAACACATTCCTTGAACACTGAAATCACCTCAATAACAAGCACCATTATCATGTGATCATGTAGCGTTAGTATAGATGATAAGCATGAAACTGTTTTCTCTTCAGTGTCTTCTTTCCATTATGCTCTCTACAGTATGCTAAGATTGAGTAGTGGATGAACTGGAATCCTTTCCATGAGAATTGACTAATGACATTGATTATGTTTGGACAGATGAAGTGGGGCTATAATCACCTCCTTCTACACTGTCAAAGGCTGCTCTCCCAGTTAACATCTTTATAGCTATTTCACTAACTTCAACAAACCATTCATCCTCGGGTAAGATGCTGTCATTCAAAGGTTCTTAATTAGTATGAAGCAGTACATAACAAAGATGGTTAATTCTATCATAAATGTACTTATATCTTTTTTTATCTATCAAAATTATATTAACGACAATAGAGTTCGAATCAAAGACTCATTACTTATATGATGCTGGCCAAGACATATTTTTCTTTTTTTCTCTTATTTCCATTGATATTTAATATGATTATATATCCGTGTATGGTTGGATTGATGGAAGGTGATTGAATGGAGTAGAATAGAATGCTGGAGGGTAAATGAAACAATTCAGCAATATCCCTCTTTTTCTTTCCCACGAAATTGGCAGCTATTGGATGAAACAATCTTCTTTTTCCCATTCCACCGTAAGATATCCAAACGAGAATGATAACCTCATTAAACTTTATTCTAGTTCATTCTACTTGGAATTAGATATTCAAACACAGCTTTAAACTAAATAGATGTACCTGTTGGGATCTAAACCTGTAGCAGCAACAGCCTCGATGGCCCTAGCAATAATGTTTTTAATCGCTTGATGCAGATGACGAGATAAGTAACGACCTTGGGATGAAAATATCATCACAAATTGCATATCCAAATAAAGCTGCATGAATGATAGAACAGTAAGTCTGATATCATTTTTAGTAAGTGATCCTAATTCATAAGCATTAAATAAATGTCTTCAATATATTCATCACAAACTACCTTCAAAAGGAATGTTTATAGAAGACATTATTTTTATAGGCCTCTAGAATTAACTTATCAATTAACTTCCAATATGTAGCAGCTTTTTATAGAGCACTAACAAAGCTGTAATTTACAATGAATCGGAGCCACTCACAATCGCAACAAATGACTCTATAAACTCTTCTTCAAGTGACTACCTGTTGAAGGCCGACAGGACCTAAAGGTGTTGCTCCTGTCTCAATCTCTTCCCAGAAGGCTTGGTCATCAGAAAGCCACAGGACCACTGTTTCTGTGAGTCTCATCAATAAAACAGTGGCAAATCTTTCCCTTCCCACAAACACATCTGCTGCAATGCCTGCAACTTCAGTAAGCTTTGCAAAAAGCTCCTGAACAATAATGCAGGAAATGATAAATCTTATAATTAAACTAAGATACTGCTACTATGTTTCTATTGATATGCATGTATCTGAGTGTTAAAGAGAAAGCATGTTATAATGATTCAAAGGCTTAACAACATAGCATCAGAGGAAGCATCCTTTGTGTTACACTTATTACCTGAAAAATTGGAGAAGGAAACCATTCAGGTTGATCTTCTCTACCATCCAATACCAGATATATTAATGCATTCAGACGTGCTTCTCCATCTTCTGTGAAGATGAATTCAAGAGCATGTTGCCGACAAAAGCTGTCCCGCAGGTGATCAACCTCACGTTGGAGCCTTTTCTTCAGTTCACGCTGTTCTGGAGGCCTCTGTTTGTCTGATCCTCTTTTCTGAGAGTCATCACCCTTGCTGCTATGTGAAAGCTTGACGACAGCCCGCGGGAGCAGCTCATCTGCCAACAATATTGCATTAGCCAGCAATGCTATCTGCTGTGCTTCAGTCTCAGCAATCTTAACAATTTTGTGCCCTTCCAGGTTCTCAGTTACCACTGAACCTGGCAGTGCATTTATTAGCAGATTGACATAGAAGTTGAACCCTTGTAGAAGGCCTTCAACTGCAAGAACATCCAATTGTAGAATCTCAAGAGGTCCTACATCTTCAAATAGTTCCTATTCGGGTAACAGAAGATTTATTAAGCATCCTGAGCAAAGAGTATATAGGGAAGGAATGAAAGTAACTTCATGAAGTTTTTTTCCAATATTATACTCTCAATTGGTTGTTTCACAATTTCTAGTAACATTAATACATTCAAACATATAGGATACTGAGCAATAGTTTTCTGAGAAAAAAAAAAAAACTTACAATTATAACAACGAAAATAGCTATGAGAACCAAAAAGTATGTGATTACCTGAACCATTGAGTTAAATTTGTGAGCACTGCGTGAAAGCTTTGGTTGGAATGAACCTAAGTTAATATGAGAAGGTGGAGGTAGGCCAGAATGTCTGTTGCTCGTTGGTGCATAAGCAAGAAACCAATCATCTGCAGCAGCCAGAGCAGAAGTACTTTGTTCAATTCTTTTCAAGTTTGTCTTCAGTGCTTGCTCGACAAAGGGTTTAAAATATTTTAGTAAGACAGGGGAAAGGGCCAGCCCAGTAGCCTCTAGTAGATAACAGTGACTCATGCAAACATGAACACATTCAGATGCAACTCTCAAACCTCCTGCAGCAGCTGAAGAGGCAAGAATGCATTTCTTAAGGAGAACAGAAAATTGCTCAGCCTGTGTAACTGCCCAAGTTACTAGCTCAGACGTGTATGCAGGTTCTTCTTCAGCAAACATTGACAAAGAATCTGATGCTGCCTGTGAAATGGTTGAAAAGACAAGCTGTGAAAGGGTAGCAGTAAATGCCCCAGTTCTACTAGTTTGAAGGCTTTTTATGCTACGCTGCAATGTTTCTTGGTGAGAATGTAGTAGTAAAGTATGAGCACGAGGGCCATCCCCAAGATTTTTCAATGCCAGGGCTGTTGATCGAATCTCTGCACTGCGAGTTGATGGCTGGCAGATAGTTTCTGCTAGCTGATCCGCTAGTTTTTGTCTGTGTTCATCAATGGCAGCTTGCAATGCCCGGTATAAACTTGGACTTAAAGTTTTCCCTTCACTAATTTCTTTTGACATTTTTTCTCCTTCGTCCAAGGCAGCCATAGCTTCATCCACTCTTTTCTCTGCTAATAGAACTTCAAGGGTTTCTAAGTATCCTATTAGCCATTTTTCTGTCTTTGATATATCTGTTTTTTCATCTAGTATATCATCCATGTCTGGATCTTCGTCTCCACTAATCATGGGAGTAAGCTCGCACCCTTCTGCTAAACCATGAACCAAAGCAGCCTGGGTGGATAGAAGATTTCTCATAGAAAGCAGCTCTCCCTCTAGATCTGAAATCTCTTTGGATGTACTGCATAATAGTATTCCATCAAGAAAATCATAATCATGCTTACAGATAGTGGATATCCTAATCTTCAGGCAATCAGGCACTTGATATAATAGATTTATCAGTATTTGGTAAAACCACCACAAAACCTTCTTGGCCCCTTTGTTCAAAAATTTAAATTTCTTAAATGGATCCTTGAATCGGTGTAAGTATGTTGCTGACCAAGCAATCTAAAGTTTAATAATTAATATCCACAGTATGAGGAAGTTATAAAAATCATGAATCAAGAATCCTAGTCTAGATGGTCAATGTTTATAAGGAAGCATGTTAATAGTTAAAAGTTATAAAAACCATTATTGGATTTGGACCCTTATCTAAAAGATTAAATTGCAAAGCTTATACCAAATACAACTCAATATAAAATCATGGAATGTTTAGTGACAAAAACTATTAGTAGATATAGAACAATATTATGTTCAAATATTAGAAACATTACCTTTCAAAACTAACCAAAGAATGAAAGCCAAATTTCACATTGATAATTTTGTTCAGTGCCTTTACAGTATCATATCTTACAATTTAAAATTCAATCAATGCAATCGAGTCTGTTTTCCTTCCCCAACCCCTCCCCCGTTTTTTTTTCTACAATTAACGATTACATCTAATTTTCTATTAACAATCTAAAGAAGCTTGTATAACAGAATTCAAAATCTGCTCAGCTTCTTAATACCACATCTCATCTACTTTTTTCTTCTAACTGTAGCAGAGAATCAGTGAAATATTTTTAGAATGTGTCCCTCAGTAAAGAAGCCTGAAAACTTCTGGGAGATTATTTTTGGTAGCTGCCTGCCAGCATCTGACATTATATTTTCATGTACTACACCAGGGGCAAGGAGTTAAGAACACCTAAGAAATCAACCCCTGTACCAAAAGTTAAATGGGGACAGAACTTCAGAACAAACAACTGCTTCTAAATTTCATAGAGCCACTTAACATGTTCATAATGCAATCTGTAGTTAAAAGAACTTAGGAAAGCGAAGGCACCGACCGATATTTTCATCATTACGAAAAATTCATAAAATGGTAATGATTAAATCCCTTCAGAAGTCCAGATATGATGCACAAGAATTTGAAAACATAGCAGCAAAGATTTATCAGTTAAGATATGTAATTAGCAGGTTTGGGGTGAGTGTAGTCACCGTATGAAGGCTGAATAATTAGCAAGAACACTTTTGCGCATTTCTTCTGCTGAAGCCTTTTTCAGGTCAACAAGATAAGCGCACAAGTGTCTTATCTCCTGCATACAGGACAAACATTGATTAAATAGGAAGGCAGTAAAAATATCCTCAATCAAATAGACAAAAAAGATTGCCTCTTGGATTGTATCTAACATCTAACAGAGTAGACATGTGAAACCTTAAACCTTTTTTTGGCATAAAACACAGTACTTCTAAGCACTACACTTTTCAAACAACTGAAAACTCGGCCTTTAATTTTTGGTTAGTGTTCATAGGCATACTTCTCACATGCAAATACGAGACTTGTGGATATCATTTTATCCTACACTCAACAAGGTGTCATTTGGAGAGTTGCTATGGTTCCCAATAGTGATGATACATAAATAATACATGTAGAGGTGACAATAAAGCGAATTAACTTAATTTGATAATTAACTTATTTGAACTTGAACTAAAAATTAAATTCGATAGATAAATAAGTCAAATTTAAGTTGTGTATAATTCGATTCATTTGATTGATGAATCGACTTGACATATAAATATATAATTTATATAATTTATTTTTTTTATTTAACTTTAGCTTATTAAAATTTGAAAGAACCTTTAAAAATTAATTATAAGTTAATAATAATAAAAAAAAAGTTGACACTTTGGATTTCATAGTTATGAATTGGTGTTTTTATTATTTTATGTATGGTGGAGTAGTTTTTATTTATGCATGGTTTACTTGTAATTATATTTCTTTAAAATCATATATTGTAATATTACAAAACTAATAAAATAAGTTATATTTTATCTTTTAAAAAATTAAACAATCATTTTATCCAAAGTTTATTAATATAATGAAATTTTAAAATATATAGGATTTAAAAATTTTGACTCTTAGATTCATTTGATTCAAGTTAATTAACAAACTAAATTAAATTGTTAGGAAGTATGAATTGAATTGAGTTTGAACTAGAAAAAAAAAGTTAATGTTAAATTCAAGTCAGATTTTGAATTGAATCAAATATTATTAAGATGAGTTAAGATGAGTTAAGACAAGTTTTATCTTGTTCAACTCATTTTCGACCCTAATCCTATGTATATCATATACTCAATCATCACTTATTATTTCTCTTTAACTCTCTCTTCCTATAACATTATATCACTTATCATACTTATACTTACCTCTCTATTAATTTCCTATCACATTATATAACTTATCATACTTATACTTCTGTATCTAGGTATCTTCTCGTGATAGGTGTCCATGGATTATTTTTTGGTACAATTATTTTTTGATCTAATAGAGAGGAAACTGGAAAAGAGACTTTCTGATTACCAAAACCATAAAATTCAGAGGATGCCATAAAATATCATTTTTGGTTGATTGCAGGCATGATAAGTGATGAAGAAATAGACCCATTTGTCCAATTTGGAAATGAAAGTGATTCAAAGTTGAAATTTATATAAGAGGGAGAGAGAGACCTTCTCGTTCATGCTGCGGGATTTGGAGGCGACATAGGCATTGGGATCAAAGGAGGAGCTTTTGAAAACCTTGAGCCTCTCGCTGAGTGTGAGATTGGCCTCGAGTTCTCCAGAGTCTCCAATGGATGACAGAGATCCTCTCGGAGTTGTGAACAGTGACTGATCCATTTTACGTTGTTCTTGTTAATTGTCGCTGTGTTTGTGTTTGTGTATGTTGTATGCATGCAATTGCGGAAACACCACGCCACACACCGCACAAGACTCAATCCAATTGCTGATGGAGAATGAATGATCGACGAAACGAAAGTGCAGAAAATCTAATGAAAGACATAATCAGATTCGTAATGTGATGCGACGAACGATGGGAAATTGGGAATGTTACGTGCACGTAAGAGAAGAGAGACGCGCCAAACATGCACTGCAGCCATTCCTAGGACTCATAATGTTTTTTGTTTTTTGTTTCCAACACATGCTATTCATAATATTAAAAAAAAAACTAAAAAATATTCTTTGTTCCTCTTTATGTCTCAGTTTTTTTGAAATATTTTTTTTTTTATATTTACTAGCAGAAAAAAGACACTTCATGCTTGCATTGTATTAGAAGAAAATAAATAAATAAATAAGAAAAAAATGATAAGTTACTCATAAAAAAGTAGTTATTAAAAAATAAATAAAGAATAAAATGGTCTATGTAAAAATGAAAACCCAAAATAGTTATTAACAGTGGTATCCCCTTTATATATTAGTATATATTCATTAGTTTCAAGTTCTTAAATTTGATTAAAAATATTTTTCTAATTTTTTAAAATATAAGGGTATAATGGTAAAAAAAAGTAGAGATCAACGTGGTTACCGAAAAGGGTATCCCCTTTATATATTAGTATAGATATGTGATTTTCAAATTTTAAGATAATACTAATTAATTTTTTGGCTTAAATATGTTTTTAGTCCCTTAAATTTAAGATAAATTTATTTTTGGTCCATCAAATTTAAAACTGTTATTTTTAATCTTTATAATTTTTAAAAATATTATTTTAGTCCCTTAAGTCACCAATAACATATTTAAAAGTGAGTAATTAAGACAATTATGCAATATCAACCAGATTTAATGTGATATTTTTACTAATAGGAACACCAATAGGTAGATTTTAATTTTATGCAATAATATTTGATAAATTTTTTAACAAAATTTGAATATAAGGACTAAAATAAGATTTTTTAAAATTACAGGGATTAAAAATAATAATTTTAAATTTAAGGGACTAAAAAAAATTTACCCTAAATTTGAGGGACTAAAAACATATTTAAGCCTTAATTTTTTTAATATTATCAATTATACTTTTATTTTCATCTAATTTTTAATTATTTTACGTATTTATCGTGAAGGTAGAAATGAAAAACATTTACTATATATATATGTTGTGAAATAGGGATAAAATAAAATGTTCAATATAAAACTACATAACTATTTTATGATGAACCATAAAATTTATTTTATTTTTTAAAGTTTTTGCATGGTACCCTAAAAGATACTTAGAAAGAAATAGAGGTAGTATTTGATAAAATGAAGAATAAAGTGAAAATTTTAAATCGTTGATAGAAAATCAATGGTTTTGTAAATAACAACACATGGATGAGTTGTTATACATACACGTAACATTAACGGTTGTTTTTTTTTTTCCTTTTTACTAACCACTGTATTACTCACTTAATCTTGATAACAAATAATATTTTTCCACAAAATAAGAAAAGAAAATATAATAAGTTACTTTATCATGTAAAGTGAGTCACTCACTTAAAATTAAAGGATCTAAATCTAATAATGGCACATGAAAAAGAATTATATATTATTTTTTTATGTCAAATTATATATTTGATATTTCTATATGGGATAGTCGAAATTGGTTGATTTAATATTAAATTATTTTTTAATTTCTATAATTTTACTTATTTTATCTTTTAATTTGTATAGTTTAAAAGTAGATATTTTTAGTTTTTATATTTATATTTTTCAATCGGTTATGGTCTTTATAATTTAAGGTAAATCTTTTTAGTCTTTATACTTATAAACTTTTAAGTCTTTTAGTCCTTAATTATTGTTAATTTTTTTTTGTAACATTTCTATTTTGTGTTTATATGGTGGATGACTTCAATTTTATGAGACTAAAAAAATTTGTGTATCAATAATAATGGTTCCAGGTGAAAACACAAAAAAGACACGAAGCGTTGAAATACTTAATTTAAAGTAATTTCAGGAAAATAAATTCAATATTAGACACACAAAATTGAATTAATATTTTTATTACGTTAATACAAAGGAGACAATATTGCAAAAAAAATGATCAACAAAGATTAAAAAATTGTAAGTATAGAAATTAAAAATATTTATCGTAAATTATAAGGACTAAAAATAATTGAAAAATAGAAGTATAAAGACTAAAAATATCTATTTTAATAAATTATAAAGAGGTAAAATAAATAAAATTTAAAAACTTTAAAAAATTTAAAAATATTTTAACCTTGATTTAATCACAGCTTTACTTAAATAAGTTTTACTTGTTTAAACAATTAAAGGTACAAGCTTGACTTGCTACCTGATGTAGGCTTTTGTTTAGTTGGCATTATTACAAGAGGCACATTTTACATCAATTTTTTTTTACATATTTTACATCGGCTTTGAAAATAATATTGACTAAGGTGACGTAAAAAGTGTAAGACATTTTATATTAGTTTAAAAATCAATATAAAAATTTTCATTTTTACATTGATTATTAATAAAATGGATGTAGAATATGATACATTCTACATCGATTATTGATGGAGTTTTAAGAATTTAGTTTTGTCTATTAACCTACTTGAAAAGTTATTTCATATTAAAACTTTTAGATAAATTTGATTTGTACCTAAACTGGCTAATAGGCCAAAAAAGAAAGAAAGAAGAAAAAAAAAAGAAACTTAACGTTAGTACATCTTAGTAGAATTTTGATTAATAGTATAATAAGAGGAATGGAAGGCTCCTACCTAAATTTTCTTTCTTGAACCTACAATATCAAAACACATGAGTGTCAAAATATAAATCACCCTCAACATGAACCTTTAATTTTGATCAATTTTTATTTTTGTCCACTCGAGTATTATTCATAATATTTTTCAAGTGGATATATTTACCTTGAGTTGCTTTAATATTGTCCAATAAGGTAGAATGAAATTGAACATGTGTTAAAAGTGACCTTGTATTTATGGTCTCGAACTTTACTCCACTAGCTATGACATCTCGAAACTCTTTCATTATATATTGGCCTCTTAATTCCAACTATTTGTGCGAGACTACTTATAAATTTTCTACTCAATGCTTCAACAACTATATATACTTAAATAATATAAGATTGTGCAATTATGCATAATTCTTTGTGTGACCCATTTACCTTCTTTACCTAATTAAAATCCGTGTGTTATACTATTAAATATTGTATACACTGAGGATAATTCTCACTTTACAAGTGAATTTTGTGATTAAATTAAGATTTAAATTCATATTTATAAGATAATATAAGAATATATCAATCATAGTGATTATTGTTATTGGGTCACTATTGAACCACCTACAAATATCATGTCCTAGGAACTTCACACATAAGATATTTAGTTGTCAATGTGAGAGTTATGTGTTAAAAATTTCATATCGATTAATGATATTGGTCAAAATAACGTATATTATAACACCTCTGTTTTTATTTAAAAAATTTAATAGATTATTATTGTTATTATTAAATACGTAATTTTGTGATTTTTAATTAAATAATAACTTTTAGAATTATTTTGCTAGAAATAAAAGAGGATTTTTATAATGTTTAATGAGATGTTGTGCTTTGCTAAAAAATAAATGTTAGACTTGAGCCCAACTCATTTTCTAGATTCAGTAAGATGTAGTCTTTCCTTAATGCTCACTTTTGTCTCTTGAAACCTTCTTATTTTCATAATTGCAAATGGAGAAACAAGAAGCTTGAGAAGCGTATCCAAGTTTTGAACTATTACGATTGCAAGAGCGTTTTCTAGGAAAGAAAGAATGAGATTATCTTACTCATGTGTGAGTCAAATTTTGGGTAGCAAAGTTAGCCCTCAATCTCGTAGACTTGTGATTGTATGTTTCTTTATTTATTTAACATTGTTTGCATGATCTATAAATACCTTGAAGACCTGTATTTTATTTGTTGTTAGTTAATTGAATTGTGTGATTCATTGATTGGTTGATTGACTACGCAATGATTTGTGTTTAGGATTCATGTGAAATTAGGTTTTGTGAATGAATTGTATATGATTTGAGATTCAAATTAGATTCTTTGTATGCCTTTATACATGTGATTATTGAATTAAAAATGTAACCATAATTTTATGTTAAACATTGAGATAACTGAAAATTTGTGGAGTGAGATTAAGGGATTTGATAAAACCTCAAAATTGTAAAATCGCAAGTTTGACACTAAATGCGAGAACCCCACGTTAAGTGCAAGACTCCAAAAGGAAAGAGGTTATCCTCTTGCACTAAGCAAAAAAAAAAAAAAAAACTTATGCTTAGCACAAAACTCTTAGAGAGGGAGTCTTATTTTTGTACTATTTAGTGCCAAGTGTGGGGAAGTCAAAGCTAAGAGGATGAGAAAGACATAAAGCATCCCCTACCCTCTAGCTTTTTGGCACTAAGCACAAAAAGGACAAAAAACACTCCTACTTTATGTTTTATTGGTGCTAAGTGTGGGAAAAGTGGCCTAATTAAGCATGAGACTTCTCAATAACAACCCTTACTCTCTATAATTTTGGCATTAAGTACAAAAATGTTTTCAATAAGCATGAATTTGACTGGATTTTATTGATGTATGTTATTGTTATTTATGCAATTATGAATGATAAGAGATAAGATAATGAGAACTGAGATGTGATAATTGAGAATTAAGAGGACTTATTCTAAAGGAGTAGGATTTGTCATGAGAATACTTATATAATTGGTAAGTATATTTGATGAACATAAGATAATATGAACATTATTGTATGAGTCGCACATCATAAGCATGAAAATAGAGATTTTGAAACACTACCTTGGTCTTTTATATATAACAATTTTTCAACTAATTTACATCATCTAAGAAAAATTAGTTAATTTATTTAATAATACTAAATTTGTCAATAATTTGAATTATTTTTCTAAAATTACTCTTAATATTTTTTAATTAATTATTTGTTTTCTCATTTAATTATTTTCACTCATTTAATTATTTTCACTCATTTAATTATTTTCACTTACTAAATTAATGTTTAGCAAGAGAGTATTAATTATTTAAAAATTGTGTCTACTCATTTTCTCCAATAGAGTAAAGAACTTTATCTCATTAATTGTCATCATTTATTATTTTTCTTAGAAATTGTTAAATAATTCAGGATGTTATATAAAAAAAACAATTAACGCAAGAGATAATTAAAAAAGGATTAGTAATAAAGTAAAAAAAAATGTCTTTTATATATAAAGATTGAAGTAATACATTAATAATTGTCCTTAAAATATTTATAAAAAATATGAATAAAAATATTTATGGATTAAGTATATTAATAGTATATTTTTAACATATTTTTTTAATTTTAAAAAATATTAGGCTAACTCATGTCTAAGGGGGCCCATATTTTATTATTACTAAGGTGGGAAGAAGCAACATTCCTTTGAAGAAAAAGAATGAAAAGTTGACCACCTACCTCATTTGCCACTTTTCCATGAAATGAAAGTTTCTTGCCATAATTAATTAATTAACGTAATTTTGTATTTCAAGGTAAGTTTCAAACCACAATTAGCTTTTTTAGTTTATGTAGGGTAGATTTTGAATTATTTATGTAAAAGGGATTGTTTTATAATTATTTATGTCTTTTAGAGTTTTTTTTATGATATTTTTATGAGTTATAGTAACTTAAGTAACACGTGACTATTTTTTATTTTTATTTTTTTTATGTTGTCTAAGTTATTTGAGTCGTGGGATCACTATTATCTTTAACGACTTATAGTAATTTATTTTTAAAAAGGATTTCTATAGATTATAGCGACACTTTTTTTTACGTCATTATGACCCAGATAATTTCTACTTTTTTTGGAAATAAAAACAGAGATAATATGAGGTATATCAATTTAAAAAAAAAAAAAAAAAAACTATCTCACATGTTGTTGGACAAAGTATGAAAAAAAATACAACCAAGGTGTACTACTATATCACACATAATTCAATAATATTCGTTTAAATTTAAGGATTATTTTTACTATTTTTAGATCAATTTAGTTTCTTCTATTATTTTAGGAACCAATTTAATAATTCACTTAAAAAAATTTAATCATTTTTTAAATTTCAAATTTTAAAATTAAAATAAATTTATAATTATAATTGTTGACTAAAAGTATATATATTAAAATTTAACAATCTAATCATTAAATTAATTTTGTTATTTTGTCTTTAATTCAATATAAATCAATTAAAAAATATATGTTGTTTTCATCTTTTTTTTTCCTCCTATTTTCTTTTTATTAAATAAGTTTCATCTTCATTTTATTTCGTACATGTTTTCTTTTTTATCTTAATTTTTTCTATAATTTTTCTCTTATCAAATATAAATTTAGGCAGTGTAAATATGATATTTTTCTATATATGATATTTTTCTATCACATTTAACTTTTTTTATAGGGATTGTTGTGAACTGTAGTGACCCTTTTTTTTAGATGGCTTTGATCCAAATCATCTCTGTTATTACTTTTCTAGAAAAAAAGTGATATGGGTCATTAACAAAAAATAAAAGAGATTACTATGACCCATAGCAATCAGTATAAAAATAGAGTTAATCACTTATACACTATTAGTGTAAAAAAATTTTACACTGACAACTAATTATATTTTTTAATTGTGTCATGTCCCTGTAAACACATTTACTTTTAACAGTGACATGACACAATTAAAAATATAATTAATTGTCAGTATAAAAAAATTTTACACCAACAGTGTATAAGTGATTAACTTATAAAAAAATATTACTATAATTTATAGCGATCCCTTAAAAATAAAAGTTAAAAATTGGATTGTTATGAGATGTAGTGACCTAAAAAAAAGTTGTTTTTATTAAGGTCGATAGCAACTTAAGTGTTTCATAACTTTCATAACTTAAAAAGAAATTGTCATATGTCACTTGGATCATTATGACTTATTTAATAAGTTTATATAATAAGTTTGTAAAACTATATTACAAGAGTCAAAAAGGCCCACAATTAATTAAGGACTTTTGCATTGTATAAATAGTTTAATTTATTTTTAAAGTAAGTATTAAATATTTATCGTATTTATAAAATAATTAATAAATAGTTTCAATACAAAATCCTATTTTTTTATTTTTACCATGTATTTATCAACACAAAGAAGATATCTCTTTAGTTTCTTTTTTGTTTATTACCAAATAGTATTTTTCCCAGACATGAAAATAATCTTCCTTTAAAATTTGACAAACAAGAGTTAAGATTTGTAAGAGTTAAGATTTGATCTTTAATTACTTGATTAAACAACAAGAGTCCATTATCACTCGCATCAAATTCTCTTTAGTTAAATTCTCTTTCTTATTTTAGAAAAATAACAATTAATAATTTTACATAATTATTTTTAAGATATGTTTTGATCAAGAATCATAGGCTCATCTCTAGAGATAGGAAACTCATTTATGAGTTGTCTTTTTCTCAATTTTTTTTTTGTTTTAACATTGTTTAACTTTTTAGTTCATTTTATAATAATTTTACATTGTCAAAAAAATGGTAATAAAAACTAAAACATAAAAAAAATATTTAATTTTGATTTACAAAATGTATTAAATTAAAATCATGATAAAATATGCTGATTTTGAATTTATGATATATGCATTCGATGTCTGCATTGCAGTGTCGTGTGGCCTCACTTTTCCTTCTAAAGATGTTTTAAGCTTCCAAACCAGTGTAATAAAAATGGTCGCATTGATCAGTCATACAGGAAACCGGTGTCAGAATCTGAATGGCTTGCTAATCAGATTAGTTATGTAGTTAAATTGGATCTAACTGAATTAAATGAACTGGTTTTCACAAAAAAATAAAATAAAATCGGTGAACAGGTCTGGTTTTCAAAAAAAAATTCAAAAATAAAATCTAAAAAATCATTTTTTTTAAAACCTGTTTGATCTTTATAAAAGTTATATTTTGAAGTGTTGATATCTTGCATAAATTTTGATTACTATTTTGGATATTTACTACTTTATAATGAAAATGTTTTTATATTTGAAGTATGGAATTGTGTTATTATAGCTTGTGATATTAAATTTAAAGTTTAAACATGTAATATTTTTCATCTAGTATGTCAATAATTTTATTTAATTTATGAAATATCTTAAATAATATCAATTATATATATATATATATATATTATTTTATTTTTAATTTTTTAATATGTACCAATTTAACTATTTTAATAAGTGATGATCCGGTTTTATGATTAGACCGGGTAGATGACTCGGTCGGTTTTTATAACATTGTTTCAAACTGAACTAATGAAGAACGCTAACATGCATCAGTTCCATGGCATCATAATTGTGAATTTGTGATCTCCTTGCCCTTTACTTTCTATGATTCTGTTTTTATTGCAATAATAGAAATGACAATTCAAACTTTTCACAAAGCCACACAATTTCACAAGCTTTCAACTTTCATAGTTTCACTCATTCCCCATTCTCTGTTTCCCATGTTTATAAAAATGTTCATGTGATTGGAGCAACAAGAAGAAAGCTTTTCCACTTTTTTTTTTTCTCTACCCATTGCGCAAGTTTCGTATTTCTCTTCACAAAGCGGAACACCAATGAAGAGGGGTAGTAAACTAGACCCGTTTGTGAAACCCAACAGGCTCACACTTTTTCACATTTTCATGGTGGTGTTGCTCGTTTACTTGCTCTTCATGAGCTTTGAAATCGTTGTCGTGTTCATAGCTGGGCTTGGATTAAAAAATAGCACCGTTTTCCTCACTGACGCAGTGTCGATGCCTGTGTCGCTGTCCCTTGAAGAATTGCACAAGGGACTCAAAATTCGAGGACCCAGAGGGCTAAAGTTGGAGAAAGTCTCCACTTTGAGGTTCAACAAGAGCTTCACCGAGGGTTTGAAACTGCACAAGGTGGCGCGACATGCATGGGTGGCAGGGGAGAAGCTTTGGAGGGAAATGGAGAATGAGAAAACAGAGAACTTGAGGAACATGTTTAAGGTTATCGGAAATGGGTCGGACTCATGCCCAGAATCGATTTCCATTTCAGGGGTGGAGTTCCAAGAGAGGTTTAAGGGGGTGATGGTGTTGCCGTGCGGGCTAAAACTTTGGTCGCACGTGACTGTGGTGGGTACACCGCGATGGGCACGTGCTGAAAGGGACCCTAAGATAGCGATTGTGAGGGATGGGGATGAGGCATTGATGGTGTCTCAGTTCATGATAGATTTGCAAGGGTTGAAGGTCGATGAGAAAGAGGAGCCTCCAAGGATTTTGCATTTCAATCCAAGGTTGAGAGGGGATTGGAGTGGGGAGCCTGTGATTGAGCAGAACACTTGTTATAAGATGCAATGGGGTTCTGCTCTCAGGTGTGAGGGGTGGAAGTCTCACACGGATGAGGAAACTGGTGAGTGGTTGTTTAAGATGTATCATTATCATCATGTGTTTCTTAGTTGAATTCAGGATAGGAGAAAAGTTAGGTGTGGTGTTTCACTATGGTCATGCATGATGATGACATTCAATGTCAGATCTTTCGGTGCAAAGGGTTTGCCTAGTTTGGGGTTGCAAGTGAAGTGGATTTTGGAGTTTTCATTGTGAATGACAATGGGGGCACTCTTTATCTCGTTGGAGTTGGTTTGAGAGTGGGATTGTCTATGTGTGTGTTGGAAAAAAAGAAAAAGGATTTAATTTTGATCCTATTTTAATACATTATAGGACTGTTGAATTTTGTCAAATTATTAAAGTTTGACTATCATAACTTAGTCTATAACTGAACTAAATGTTGTGTGACCTATTTAACTAGCCTCACCTTGTGGGGTAAGATTTCTGTTGTCGCTGACTATTGTTAGTACTATATGGAAAGCCTGACTTGAGGATAGTGTAACTTTACCTTGAATAGGGATCAAATTTAAGTTCAAAGGAGAAAAGAGAGAAGATTTTAGATGTTGTTTTCATTATCTTTTGTGAATGTGGACATTTTGGATGCTTGCTTTTTTTCACTTATGCATTTCTTGTTTCAAGGCATGTGCTAAATTCGTTATTTTTGTGAAGTTGATGGGCATGTGAAATGTGAAAAGTGGATTCGTGATAACAAGCAGCATTTTGAAGAGTGGAAGGAAACATGGTGGCAAAACAGATTGATAGGAAGAAAAAATGAGGCGACTGTAGATTGGCCATATCCTTTTGCAGAGGGCAAGTTATTTGTTCTGACAATAAGTGTTGGCATAGAAGGTTACCATGTTAGTGTGGACGGGAGACATGTGACATCTTTTCCCTATCGCGTGGTGGGTACACTAATCAATAATCATATCTCCTTATGCATTCTGTATTTGTTGCTTCCTTACCTACAACACATCCTAGTTATGCTCCACAGATGCATCTTGAATTGTTTCCTAAGTGGAAAGCTTCTCCTCTTCACAATGTGAATGTGGAGCTTTTCATTGGTATTCTTTCTGCTGGAAACCATTTTGCTGATCGGATGGCAGTAAGGAAGTCCTGGATGCAACATAAACTAATCAAATCTTCTCATGTCGTGGCTCGATTTTTTGTGGCCTTGGTGAAATGTCATTGCATCTTCTAATCCCAAATAATGCTAAAAAAGAATTCACAATTACATAGTATTTTTTCTGACTTTTCTTTTATTTTTATTATTTTTTATATGATAGCATGCAAAGAAGGATATAAATGTGGACATAAAGAAAGAAGCAGAGTATTTTGGTGATATTGTTATAGTCCCATACATGGATCATTATGACCTTGTTGTGTTGAAAACCATAGCTATATGTGAATATGGGGTGAGTATGGTAGGAGTTATATGTTGCTTATTTAGGTACACACTTGTTTTTTGTTTTTTGTTTTTTTAATATTTTACCCTTTCTTTTATCTTGCATTTTCATTGATTATTATTGAATATGCATCTTGCAGATTCATACTGTGGTTGCCAAGTATATCATGAAATGCGATGATGACACATTTGTGAGAGTGGATTCTATCTTAAACGAAGCAAGACAAGTTCAAAGGAGAAGTCTCTACATGGGAAATATGAATTACCACCATAGGCCTCTTCGCTATGGGAAATGGGCTGTAACTTATGAGGTACAATTACCATCATTTTTTACTTTTAAAATTTTAATTTTTATAATTCTTGAATTTTTTAATTCCATTTATTATGTGTAAATTAAGTATTACTGAAAAATTAAGTTTATTTATTTAATTTTGAATAAATATTATATATAAACTTTATAATTATTAAATAGAGTGGGTTGAATTTTTGAACTCACTTAAATAAATGGGATAGAACGAGACACGAGACATTTTGTCACTCTAATTTCCAATATTATAAATATTTCTCAGCAATTTATATGGTTTTTTTAGGTTGGATAATTTGAAAATTCTTATATGTTAAAGTAATCTTTTTAAAATTTTCATTTTTACAATGCCTGAATTTTTGTATTCCATTTATTATGTCTAAATTAATTATTACTAAAAAAACTTAAGTTTATTTATTTAATTTTCAATAATTATTATATATACACTACAAAAATATAACATTTAATGACATACAAAATTTATCATTATAAATATAATATAATATATATATATATATATATATATATATTTGACATTTAGCTATACATAATTTAAGTGTTTATTTTAAATGTAATTTAATAACATATTTTGTGTATTATTATAATCTATATCAATACCTTTTAACAATATAGCAAGATATATTGTATTTAGTTTATGGATAAAAGTACTTTTTAGTGATATATATTATGTCATTATATGACAATTTTCTTATAATTATATTTATAATTTTTAAATAAAGCGAGTTAGATTTCTGAACTCACTAAGCTAAGTAGGATAGGATCAAACGAGGTAAGACATGAGATATTTTGTAATTTCGACTTCCAATATCACAAGTATTTCTCAAGAAAAATTATTTCTCTTTTAAGTTGGATAATTTAAAAATTCTTATTTGCTCAAGTAATGATTTTAAAACTTTGATTTTTATAATTCTTGAATTTTTGTATTTCATTTATTGTGTCTAAATTAATTATTACTGAAAAATTAAGTTTATTATTTTTTAGTAAATATTATATATATAATAATAATAATTATTAAACAGAGTGGGTTAGATTTTTAAACTCACTTAGCAAAACGAGACGGGATAGGGCATGACACATTTTGTTATCCGATTTTCAATACCATTAATGTTAATCTATTATATAAATTTAAACAAATTAAAAATAAATAAAATATCATTACTACACAACTAATATAATAATATTATAAATTCTAATAAAATAATTTAAGATAAAATAGTTTAAAAGATTTAGAAGAGAAAGATATATTTATACTCATATATATAATTAACTTATTTATCATTATTCTAATGTTAATTTTGATATTTAGCATCTTACTATTTTTTATTATTGTAATAATAACTTTTATTATATAAAATTATTAGAATATTATTTTATATAGTCTTATCACTATACAATGATTTTAATCACATTTATTGTAATAGCTAAATGAGTTTTATATACTATAGATAAAAATAATGGTGATAAATTTTACATGGTCTAAATTTTTCATGTTATTAAAGCATATTAAAGCTTTATCGTGATTGAAAAATATTGAATTTGTAAAAAAGAAAATATTCTTCTGAAAAATGAGTTGTTTTTTAAGCTAAAAATTTAAATTTATAATTATTTTTCAACGTTTTTTTTCTTCTTTTAAGCTGGATAATTTAAAAAATCTTATTTGTTCAAGTATTAATTTTAAAATTTTCATTTTTGTAATTATTGAATTTCTTATTTCATTTATTGTGTCTAAATTAATTATTATTAAAAAATAAGTTTATTTATTTAACTTTCAATAAATATCATACATATATATATATATATATATATATATA